ATGAAAAAGCTGTGCCAAACAGGGCCTAAGTCTAAAACCATTAATCTAATATAAAAAGCAGTAACAAGGTTTCAAATTTAGTGATGGTTGAGCGAAAATGACGGGCAACGACTAATCATAAGTTAATAATGAATAAACAATCTGGTTCAACAAAACCACAAGAAGAAAAAAACAAACAAAAAATTAGTATTCTAAGCTTTCAAGAGAAAAAAATGGTGCATTTACATTCATACAACCCAAATCCTATGTACTTATATATCGAACACCTAAATTTGACTTTTTTATATTTTTACCATTCAAATCTTTCAATATTTCACATGAAATATAGCACCATTTTAGATTTTAAATATCGAAATATACATTTTCATGCATGGGCAACTTGATATGTAAAAAATGAAGTTTAGGCGTTAAATATGAAAGTAAATAGAATTTGATTGGTATATTCCAAAAAAAAAATTGGGTAAGGATATGATGACCCAAATTCGATCGGGATGAATTTACCCGCCATCAAATTTATTTTGAAATGAGAGCAATGTAAGAGTTGATTGTTGAGCTATAATACATCACAGTCATCTCAAAGTAAGTAAGATGGATAAAGGACCCATTATATCCCAATTACTTTAATTTTCAATATCTAAATGTAATGTCCAAATGGATATCAACCACATAAGCTCGCTTCGAAAATAAACTCCTTGCAATGTTTAATGAACATCTGAACACGAAAAACAACATGATAAAATAACGAGTGAAGTGTCAAAATAGTGTTGTGACTATTTACATAGAGCCCTTTTAGTCCCTAAATTTATAAAAGTATCAAATTAGTCTCCATAGTTTCATAATATGGGTTGAAATAGTCTCCATGGATGATCATTTTAACCCCTATTAAAAGATTATGAGTATTAACTTAGTATTTTTATAAACTCTGAGAATAAAATGACCCCTTGCAAAGAGTCTAGGGGACCAATTTGACATTTTTCTCGTGAAATAACTAACCATGAAACAAGTTTCTTGAATTAGTCTACCAGCGTGAGTAAAATGTCTCAAGCATGATAAATCAATTCAAACAATAATATTCCCTTTCATGGTGTAATTTTATACTTTGCAACAAAGAAGATGGACAATAACACATAACCCATCAACAATAAACAATTCAATTGCTCTTTAACCTATGAAGCTTCTCTTATAAAAATTCGTCCTTTTGAGCCCATTATAGAACCACCAAATCACATAAAAATATAATTTTTACATACATCATGATGCCAATTATCCATCAATCTCAAAAAAAAAGAAATTTTTTTTAAAATCATACTAATCTAAGAAATGCAAAAATGAATAAGCACCATCTAAAGCACATTCTATTTAAAAAGGGACATTTACATATATGCCACACAAATCTTATGTATTTGCATATCTAAAACCTAAACATTCATATTTATATGCATAACACTAAAATCTTTAATATCCATCAAAAATACCACTTTTACTTCTTTTCATGCAGAGTGTTATGACACCAAAGTGTTATAAATATAAATCTAAAAGTTAAGGCATTAGATATGTAAAAACATAAGATCATAGTGTGGTAAGTATGTAAATTTCCCATTTAAAATTTACCTTTCTAAGATTCTACACAACTCTCATATTATACATCCAGCTTTCCCTAATAAACAACGGAGTAATCATTACAAACAATCCTTAAATAAAAAAAATAGTAAGGGATAACCACATTCAGGCCATCCGAAACATTGATATTTAAAAATTAACCTCCAAGGTGATTTTTCTGAACCACCAAACCGACATATTTACGCATGGCATGATCAAACTATTGAGAATTTGATAAAAATAAAAATTATGGGCTGGGGTTCTACAATGAATTTTGATATTGAGTGAGAATTTGAAAAATGGATGGAAGAGCGCGGTTGATTTGTAAATTCCAAATTTCGAATGATCTGCAAGTAATTGCTCCAATCCACAAAGAAAAGAGCAGAAGGAAACCAAACTCATCCATAATCAGAGTAATCACTTAGCATTATAAAGAAACAACAAACAGAACTGATTTAAATTATCATCCAATAAATGAACAGTGATTTACTGCAAACTTATCAGCAATGAGTATAGGAACAAAAGCATAATGCCATTAATAATCAAATCGCAGATAAAGAAAAATCACATATTTAAGGGAAATTTACCTTATGTATTTACATATCTCATCCCTATACTTCCGAAGAGTTGAGTGCTGCTCTGCATGTAAAAGCCCCAAATTTTAAACTGCTGGAGATTGGAAACTGGAGAGCAAGGAAATGGCTTGATGATTGATTATTAGAAATAAAAAAGGGAAATTTACAAGCGTACCACAACTGTTCTTATGTGTTCAATTTCGCCATTAGAGCTCTGAAGAAAAAAATTAAGAAATTAAACTGTAGGATTGAAGCGAGTTACGCTCGCAACAACCAAAATCATAATTTAGTATTAACAGATCTGCTAATCATGAGACTGCAAATGGAACAAAAAGGAAAAAACCTGCAAAAGATATGATCAAATGAAGAAGAAAACATCGCAAAATTAGCCAAAAATGTAAGAAAAAAAATATTTTATAAGAAAGAACAAAATCTAAATCTGTCGATAGGAAATGAAATTCTTGACCTAAACCGCGATCCTTAAAGAGAACATGAAATTGCAAATGACAGAATGAAGGAGAAACCTGCAAAATATATGATTGAATGCGGAAAAAAATATATAAAAATTTTGCGAAAAAAATAACTGGAGTTCATCTCGATCTTTCGGAGCGAACGAAACCCTAAAAGGAAATGGAATTTTCGCAAAAAAATTTGGACCATTTCTCGATTTATGCGTGTCATCCTTGCGCAGGGGCCATGCTAATCTTCTCTGTATCGTTCCAATTTTATCGGATGTCTCCGAAGAGACACTTCGTTGGCAACGATACCTCAATATAAATAAAATCTATTATAACAATAAAATGATGTGGGACTAATTGTAATATTTATTTTTACTTTTAAAAAACGAAAAAATAAATAAATAAATATATATGTCACATAATTCTTATGTATATATATTTCTAACATCCAAAGTTTGACATATATATTTATAACATCTTGGTGACATAAACTTATGTTTAAAAGTTGTGTTTCACTTAAAAAAAAAAAATGATGATAGTATATTTTTTATATGATATTAAAGATCAGAGTGGCATGCTCGTAAATATGAACTTTTAGTTGTTACATATGTAAATACAAAAGAAATGTCGTATGAATAGGATTGCCCCTAAAAAATATATATTTTTTTATGTAGAATATAACTTTTTTTAAGAAATTTACATACAACACATATTTATTTTATTAAAGTTTAGTATTTACATTATAATACTTTTGTGGCATAAGACTACGCATAAAAATGTGTCTCCACTTTTCAAAAGTCTACTTAATGATATTTTTAATAGATTTGAGGGTTATATATATAAATATGAAAGTCTAATTGTTTGATATGTAAATACATAATGATTCTGTGTTTTGTAAGTAAATGTCTATTTTTTATGGAAATTACAATTTTGTTCAAGCATAAGAAATGTAGACATATGTCAATGAAAAAAGGATAAAAACCAATTTTTTTTTGTAGTTGAATAATAATTCATAAAAATTTATATCCATTCAAATTTCATAATTTAAATATGAATAAAAAATGCTAAGAAAATAAGTCTAGTTTAATTTGAATTCAAAAGGTGCTCACTTTATGCAAGCATAAGAAATTCAAATATTCATCACCACAAAGATATAACTCTACCCACTTTTCAAGAGGCATTATCACACCACTTGTATTTTTATATGTGGATTCATTTATGGAAAGAGAATGAAAATTAGGCATACTTTTGATTTAGGATGATATATTTTTAAAACAATGACCACTTAAATAATACTCTTTTCTTAGCTCTTGGATTGAAAAAGGGTAATTTCATATAATTTTTTTTGATAAAAATGTCAATCAATCTTGACAAACCAAATGAATGTGCACCTCTTTATTGGGATTTATTGTTTTAGTTAATAAAAAACAAATTAGATAACCTAAACTATGTTGCAGTTTTATTTTATCTATAATTTGCTAGGTTCAGATTGATTAAATTAGTTTAACAAATTCATCACTGAATATATCCAAATTTACAATTACTTGTTCCTTGTTTACTTAGAAAAAATGGTCAATTATTTTGATTTAGTATCATGCTTGTCAGTGACTATGGGCAGTGTCATCTAATGGGATCACCAATATCTAAAGGTTTAAGGGTGTTCAAGTCCTAGGTTGATATTTGAAACTTATTTTTCATGACCACTAAAAGTAAAAGCCCAAGCTTGCAAGACTTTGTACCCAAATAATTGACAATCTTATAAAACAAAAAAGAAAGCTAGAGATGGAAATTCACAACATAGTCACACTAATCATTGTGACCCAAAGTGCTAAATATATAACACTTGATCAATAATATCACTAGCCCACATAATCACATTTTTCAAACCCAAAATGGAGAAGAGACAAACACACTTTAAGGTTTGTTAGATGAAGCAAAGGGATGCTTGTGAAGTGTACATGTCTAAATTAACTATGCATACGTAAATTATAAACTACATACAAACTTTGAAAAGAGAACATGATATATCCATTGATAATGTTTTATGTTAACATGCCACACACACACACACACACACACACACACACACACATAT